TCAATACTTTCCACGTTGAGGCTGAAGTGATTGACAATCCTGTCCGTGACTCTGTACATCCAGTGTTTCTGTTTCCGCTGCACTGAGCATCTTAAAGGCACGAGAATTTTCGCGATTAATAAAGTTCCTATCTTATCTTATCTCTTGTTTGGTGAGCATCTTCTTGATAAGATTTCATCAAATGGTGACCATGGCTTACAATAATTCAATTCAATTTGTATCAAAGGAATAGTAACATGCAATTTCTATATTCACAACAACATGATGCCCAAGCAATTACTCTGAGTTTTGCCAGAATACAGATAGTATATGAAATTGGATTTAATAGGAAGAGGTCCTAATTAATTATCATGTGATAAAAGCCGTTATTACATAATGACCATTTAAAAGCTAAATGGCATATTTGGCATTTCAGAAAAAAACAACTGCTCAAAAGACCATCTGGTGAAAGAATATATGAACTGAACTGAAAAATAAGCTCAAATGTTGTACGACAAAAACGTATACTGTAATTTATTTCTGATTGACTCTACTGCCCCCTTTTGGATGTAATCAAAGCAACACTTCAAAGTATACAAAAAAAATTGTTTTGTGTGACTGGTAAATCAATTAACTGATAGGTGTAGGTGTATCTATTTTGAATATAATATACAATTTGTTATAATGACAAAACAGTAACATAATGAGGGAGCTAAATTGTAGTCTGAACCCGGTTGTAAAAGTAGTTTTATCTGAAGTTCAAATTTATCTAGTGTACTTCAAAATCTAGAATAAATACACTTCTCATTATTAATATGACTTATTATCAATCAGTGTAGTTTTCTTCTTATAATTATTGAATAGGGTAACGATACATTTACATGCCAAACTAACACTTGATGTGCCAGATGAGGTGACATACTGCCCCCCTCCCCAATCAACCTCAATAAGGATAAGAGGATGGAAGATGGATGCAACGGTTAGAAAACAACATTAATTTTGTTTCTAATGAAAGCAGAGGAGCGTGACTGGGACATAGTCTCTGAGTCACATGAAGAGGACATTGAGGGACTTTGTATCATTGTATCACAGACTACATCCACTTCTGTGTTGATAAAACAGTTCCCACAAGGAAAACAACACAAACTGTAGGTTGTAAAGGAACTGAAGGATCTACTGAATGAGAACAAGAAGGCCTTCGGTTGTGGAGAAAAGGTGGAGATCAGTCGGGTTTAAGCAGAGATGAACAAGCAGCTCTGTGAGAGGAAAATCCCCCACAAGGACAAGCAGGCGCGCAAGCTACTGAAGAACAATGTGAAGGTGGTGTGGATTTGGGTGATTTGTCACCAGCTACCTCCTGGCTGGAAAGCTGGAGGGGTGAGGAGGAAAATGGACAGGGCTGATGAGATGAATCTGTTCTACAGGACTGACTCTCACTTGCCAGTCCTGAACCCTCCAAACACCACTAGTCTCAGTATGTTGACTGGGGGATTTTTAACCCCACAATACCCCCCTCACCCACTACTTTCACAGTTCCTATGACATTCTTACTGATGTCACTATATCTGAGGTTTCCGTCTCTACCTCAGTACCCTGGGTGGCCACCTCTACTGACCAGATGAGATGTGATCTGAGGAGACTCTGCAGAGTCAAGGTTATGAGGCCTAATGGAATCTTCCCAGCTATCTCTGTGGGGTCCTTCGGTACTTTTTGTCCATCTCCCCGTGCCTGCAGAAGGTCCCTAGCTCTGGAAAGCATCCTGTGTGGTTCTGGTGCCAAAGATGGGGCACACCATCTGCACGGGGGCACCTCAGGGAGCTATCCGGTCTCACTTAATGTTCATCCTCTAAAAGATTAACTTCTAGTACAACCCTGGCTCATGCCACCAACAGAAGTTCTCTGACTCGTGGGAAGCTTGGTCAATAGGGATGAGTCACAGTAGAGGACACTAGTGAGGAACCACCTACAACTGAACATCAACAAGGCAAAGGAGTTGTTGGGGGCTTTCTAAAGTGCTAAGGAACCAGTCAGGAGGAAACAGCTGGTGAAGTACAGGAGATTTACCTAGACAGCAGATTCAACTGGCCAGACATCACACTGATACTGTACAAGAAGGACCAGAGCAGGCTTATGTTTTATGACATGTTTTACCAGTCCATAATGTCCAGTGTAATTCTCAGTGCTGTAGTCTGCTGGGGATATAATGGCAGTTCATGTGATGCTCAATTCCTACATAAATTTATCGGGAACATCAGGTCTGTCAGAGGACCCACTGGAAGCAGCTGTAGCGAAGATAATGGTGCAAAATTGAAGAACATCATGAACAATTCCGCCATCCCTTCTGTAGGACCCTCTTTTGGCGCACCTTCAGACTGTAGCCACCAGGGATAATAGTAAAATGGGGGGAGGGCATCTCAAGAGGAAAAATGTAGGCTTTCACCTGCTTCTTTTTCAGTGCCCAATAACACCATATTTTCTTAAATTACACAATAATTATGGCTATTTCCTGTTACATCCACACTTTGTGTGTGGAGTTTTGTCGTTTCCCCATTGTCACATGGGTCCCTTCCATGCTGCTGAAAATGTTTCACCTTTAGCTTCTTTTCTCGCTGATCCCACCTTATAGGCCAGTTTTTCCCAATCCGGTCTTCGGGGACGCACAGACAGGGAGCTGGGAGGGAGCAAAATCATTGACTGTCTGTGAGTCCCCGAGGACCAGATTTGGAAACACTGTTATAGACATATTGATTTCTGCTGGTGGATGGGGGACGACCAGGAGGGAGGCAGTACTGACTATACTTGGGTAGTATTACGGTAATAGCAGCATTTTTGTTTGCTCTGTCATGATGGAAATAGTTACTGGCACACCCCATAATACATATAATTTTTATACATGTAATCATTGTCATACATATAACACTTATACATATAAATATTTTGTATTTAATACCATATGCCATGGTATAATGTCTGGACGGTATTAAAAATGAGACTGCCCAAGCTCAGTGCTGGTGGGGAAGTACTGGTGGTGGGAGGCTTTGTCGAACTCGGGGGGGGGTGGTGCTGGTAGTATGATTTTCTAGATGCCATTGGGATGGGGGGGTGGGGTTAATGGGCTAATTTTCCATCAAGTAGTTTATCATTTGAAGGCACGTAATTCACTCATGTACAGGCAAAAGTTATAAATAGTCAAATACTGAACTGCATGCAAAAAAATATGGAATATAAAAAGCTGGAAAACACACATCTATCCATCAATACATTTTCCATACCTAACTGTCCTATGCAGGGCTGCAGATCCCAGAAGCTACAGGTGCAAGGCAGGTGATAACTGAGGAAGGGGTGCCAACCCCCACTGTAGGGCACACACACCATCCATACACATCCATCCATCCATTATCCAACCCGCTTATCCTACTGGGTCGCAGGGGGTCCGGAGTCTATCCCGGAAGCAATGGCCATGAGGCAGGGAACAACCCTGGACAGGGTGCCAACCCACCAACACACATCATTCATACACATTCAATCTGGAAAACCCAGAGGAGACCCCACAATGACGAAGGGAGAACATACAAACTCCACACACGTACAGCAAACCCTGTGTGAGGCTACAGTGCTAACCACTGCACCACCGCTATGCCACCTAAACACGCACACACGCACACACACGCACACACGCACACACACACACACGCGCACACACACACACACACACACACACATACACACTCTACACTTACAGCGAGATGACCTGCAGCAGGTTACCATATTTTACATTGTCCCTTTTCCCTATATTACAACGGGGATTATGCTAAAGTGGTAAACCATGTTCACGGCACCCGCGCTACAATACATTAGACACGTATTGCATCACTGTCTTTCTCAGAGTGTACTGTATGTCAACACATATAAGCTTGTGCTGTTCGATAAATTTGTAACTGATCAAGAAATATTGACTTCTTATATAAGGATATAGTGCTTATAAACATGATTCTCAAAACATAGAGTGATTTTGCACATCTTGTATTTGTCTATTTAATTTTCTGTTTTAAAAAGGAATCGAATATCATGAGGAATGTCCATGCTGTGTACAGCGATAAATTCCATGGACAAGTTCAGCCCCCAAGAACTTTTCCAGGGAATACCATGAAGCTACTGAGGCAATAACGCTTCATTCTGTTTTGTCTGAATCCAGACAAAGGTCAGGTTGTACTGCTGAGCTAAATGCAAATGAGTAATAATTAATAACAAGACTTTTTAAAAGATATTTATAAACGTATTTTAGTGATGTGAACTTGATGCAGCTGTAAGAGTGAACTTGGAACTTACGGGGTGCCTTGAAACTGCATCATCACGATTGCGTCATCGGCCTAATAGCTGAGCGATACATCACAGGAGGGAGAAATTTTGCCGGTGTTCTGACGAGTTGAGCTACCTATCGAGACGTGCTATCAGGCCTTTCTGCGCATGTGCAGTTCCACCGTTTTGGGATTAGGGTTAGGTTTTAGGGGTTAGGGTTAGAGTAAGGGTTTTAGGGGCTTTTGGGGGGTTAGGGTTAGGGTAAGAGTTAGGGTTAGGGCTATCGATTAGCACTACGGCAGCCTAACTCGACAGAACACCGGCGGAAGACATTTCGCATGACAGTTGGCTGTCCAAACATACATGCTAACGGTAGTGGCGGTATCATAAAGCAAACGGTGTTCAACCAAGTTAAGCAGTAGTCCGATGAGAATATGAGGAGAGCTATTTATATTCGTTATCTCTCACGAGAAAACGGTTAGCAGTGGAAAAAATCTAAACTATTGTGTATCGTGGCCCTGTGTAAAAAGATAGCTGCCAGGGAAATGATCAAATACAATTATTTCAAGGATTCAAAGTTTTTATTGTCATGTACAGAGCACAATGCAATTCTTACTTGAACGCCGCCTTCACGGACCAGCCAGGCATGAAGTCGAACGCGCCCAATTTTTCCTTGAGTGGACGTTAGTGTTTTACGTAATGGCGTAAGAACCAATGAAAAGGATGAAGGGCGGTCCCGTGGACGGCGTTTCTGTTTTTACTGGAACACCCTCACGATCGTGCCGCCTAAGCCTTACCGCCAGTTTTAAGTAACGTTGGGCGCTAACGCCTTTTTGTCCTGGACACGTTTCAAAAGGTATTCACAATCTCTGCCGCGCAAAAACAGCTGTTTGGATAAAAGTGTAAGACTGAAAATTGCTTCAGGAGCATTTTAACGTGGTTTGTAGGTTGTATATTTTTTCTGTGTCCTAGTGAAATAGCTTATACAAACGATGCTATCTTCGCCCAGGCTCTTAGGAGGGATGGGGGTTGCGGTTGGGGTTGGATGGGCTAAATCCTGTGTTGGGTCCTTACCTATAGGATAAAATGCTGCTGTAACAACAAAACGAACATCCCCCTCCTCCACAACTCGGGGCCCGGGGCTACGGACCGTTAGTAAGGGCTTAAGTCCGGCCATGCTTACGCTATATTGAAATATTTGGGTCGTGGGAAATTTTAACATACCCACTTTGAATGTAATGGATGTGCAGAAGGCTTGTAATTTATGGTAGTACAGTGTTGTAGTAAATTGGATGGTTTATAAAATAAAAAATAAACGGCTCAGTTTTTAAATGACTCCTCTTCTCTGGGTTAGGCGAGCTGGTTGTGGGATTTTCGCCATTAACGCGACAGAAAGGTAAGACTCCAAGTCTTTCACTAATGACAGGTTTAGCTAGCGATTCACTGAGTTAACGACTGGTTGAGCGGTGTTTAATTTCCCCGATGGCTTAATTATATTGTTTCCCCCAAATGTTTCTTTTTCTTTTTACTTTGCACATGGCTGCTTGGCTACATTATGGCGTTTTCATTTTTGAATGTTGTAAGGGAGTTTGATGTAATTGTAAAATCATCTCCACATATTAGAGAGAAAATCAAGTGTTTTAAGTACCTCATATCAGGATGAACAAGATAGCGAAGATGGATCATAAACATGCGATTTAATGGATAAAAATGTATCGTTCAAATTTACACAGCCTGTAAGACCATTTGGCAAAAAGGAATTTTCAGTTTGTATTTTTGCAATGGTTAGTACCCGATGAGTGGAGATGTAGGAGTATTACGTCACAATTTGTACGCGACGGCCATTTTACCGGGGGATGTCGAATGTGTCATACGTTGCTCAGATGCCGAAACTTTGGTGTTTCTTTTCAGTGTTAAAGTTTCGCATAAACGAAATTTATATCGAATGCTTTGAGCCGTTTCTTCATAACATTTGAAGAAAACAATCTACCACCCCTGTTGATCATAAAGTCTAAATACAGTCTAAATATCTTCTGTTTCTTTACCTTGATTTTTGCAGCTGAAGGTATACAAAAGAAATCTACATTTGGGTTGTAGTTGCTGCTGTTACTGCTTGTTCCCCGGTAAAATGACTTCCGCCTCGTTTTCATTTATGCATACTTTGGACAATGATGTCATCTTAATACAATCCATTGCGTTAACTTATGTGCTAACTATACTACTGAGGTAGAAAATCAGCTGTACTGGTTTGAATGTGAGGTAAAGCTGAGTGTGGTTCAGGTGGAGATTCTCATTTATGACTTTTTTTATGCAGTCATCAAGTATTTCCCAAGTAATGTCATTCTTCTCAGCAATTGCTGAATTTTGAATGGAGTTTTTATTTAATCTGGGACAGGGAGTTCATACACTGTATGAACAAAAGTTTTGGGACAACTGGCCATTAAACCTACAGGAACTTTTATGACATCCCATTCTATATCCATAGTCATCAATATGGAGTTGTCTCCGCTTTGCAGCTATAACAGTTACCACTCTTCTGGGAAGGTTTTCCACAAGTTTGAGTGGTTATTCTGGCTCAATTTAAGTTCAGGTTCAAGTTCAAAGTTTTATACTCATGTGTACAAAGTAGTGTACAGAGTACAATGAAATTCTTACTTGAATGCTTCTGAGACTAGACAAGAGCAGTGCCACATTACAGTAACTGAACATACAGAGTGAATAGCTAACAAATAATGCAGGCTATTGACAGGGTGCCCATGAGTGACCATGAGAGTTCAGATGTAAATTGTTTTTTAAACAGTCTAGCATGTGTGTTGTGTTAACAATATTGCACGTTTGTTGAACACACCATTAGTATATATTGCCCATTATATTGCACATAGCGAGCATTATTATTAGTGCACATTGTACCTCAACAAATATTTGGTGCAAGCGATATGTTTTACTAGCTTATTAATGTATATTTTGCTCAATAGCTATATGTTTCATGGATTATTACCATATATTTAACTCCATAGCGATATGTTTCATTGGCGTGCACATTAATGACGTTTTTACAAACATGTCTGAGGTTTTACTGTATGCTGTTATAATGTGAAGGTATGTTGTAAGGCCTTGCAGTTAAGAACTAAGGGTGTAATGGTACACAAAATTCATGGTTCAGGAAGGGGCTGGGCAATTCATGGAAAATTTAATCAAAACCGACATTCAGAACCTCAAAATGACATAATTGTCAGTTACTTGTTTTTTGTTTTTTGTTTTTATCCTGTTAATACTAAAATTAATACTTTCCCCAGTGTGTGTTCATTTACTGTCTCCTTAAACAAACTACCGTATGTACTGTCACGTGACTCCGACCCGTCCGTCTGTGACACGGAAGCAGCATGGAGGAGAACTCGCACCTAGCTGACTGAGCAACTCGAGCAGCTTGTACCGAATACCACCAATCGGTTTCAACACTAGCAATATTTAAAATACAGTGGAAACCATTTATAGTGATCACGGTTATATGGATCACTATAAATGATCACCACTTATATGGATCGAAAAGCTTGAGACAGAATTATTCCTGTATATATACTTTTTAAATAATTTGCTTATAGTAATCAAGTAGTCTGCTTACACTGTTTATTTTTGGTCTTTTTATACATAACATATGGAAAAAATTAAAGTTTTGGTAATTCTTTTTTTTAATGGCCTACTTTGACTTGCGATAACCCATCTGCTTCTGGCTAACTACCTGTGGGTAATGTTGTTTGCACAGAAAATATGATTGGGGGGGGGAACTTTCTTTCAATGATCAATATAGACTCATCAAGAACATATGTGATAAATTACCAAAAACAAGATGCAGCAGTGCAGTACTGCATTATAGTGTAGTTGAATTATACATTGTACATAATTTAATTTGTGCAGTACTGTAATTTGAAGTGTTCGAAACAGTTGTACTATATTTGAATGAGTCAATAAAATTCAGTCAATAGCAACACTGTCAATTTCATTACCTTATACAGTGGTACGCAGGGAAATGAGTCACGCGGCACGTCTCTCAGCGGAAACAGAGTAACGCTTCAGTCTCAGCCTCGCATTCGCTATGATAGCATCATGTATATTTACACTAGCTGAATACATATATTTTGACAGTAAAAATACATTTAGACAATGATAGACAGTAACAGTAATTATTATATAATAAAATACCTTTAAAATAATGATTTCTTATCAATTATTTCAAAATCAATAACAAACTAATAAATTTAATAAATAACAAATTAATATATTTAATTATAATAATATTGTCGTGCTGAGCGGGGACGGAACGGAGACAAACACAGGTCTACATCAGAGTACAATGACCGGACTGGGGAAACAAACTGAAACGCGGAAAAATACATAGGACTAATGACAACAACCTGAAACAGCTGATCAAACGGGATCGCGCAGGAGGTTAACGAGGGGGCGTGGCACATGGAAGGAGCAGATGATCGGGGCAGGACTTTAGGGCATCATTATTTCTTATGGGGAAAATTCGATCATAACTCGAACTTTTTAGGATTTGAACCCGAGTTCTGAACGGATTAAGTTTGAGTTCTGAGGTACCACTGTATTTGTGTAATGAATATATGAATGTCAATTAGATGGTACTCTTCCCTGAGACAAAGAAAAAAAATCTTATGATCATTGACTTATAGTGATCAATTTCACCCAGACAGAAGTGATCACTATAAAGTTTATTTTGTTTGCAAGAAATGCAAGCTATTTATTTTCTACTTTTAGGGAACTTGCTTTTTACATTAAAACTATAATGTGACCTTTTTCGTAAGATGTTTTCATTTCAAGTGATTTGTGCTTTGATTTTAGTTGTTCGAAATATTCAATAAATAACCATAAATGGTTAGTTTGTGGATTTCCTTCAATTATTTTGCAATCATAAAAATAATATATACAGTCTTTCGTTAGAAAAAATATCCCAGCTTTAATAGTTTCATATTTACAGTTTGAACCTTATCAATGAAATATGAGTGGGAAAAAAAAACAAAAATAAAATAATGCATGTTTTTGGGAAACTAAAATGTCTGCCGACTGTGACTGACTGTAATGGTCAATGCATATGTCACTCTTTCACGAGTGCTTTCAGTTGCGGATGAGGGGAATGTGACTTAAATTTCGTCATCTGGAGCTGGCTGCGGACGACTGGTTGGTGTGCGTGTAGGTCGTTTTTACGTCTAGCGGCGTCTAGCGGAAACCTTGCGCATCCATGCAAGATAATTGATTAGGTATTTCCAGTAGGTGGCAGTGTGGACTTTCACAGATCAGCGGTCAACAACGAAAGAGTGGAGGAAGAATTGTTGCTGTAGTATTATTTATGGTGAGCAGCTGTATGGGGAGGGTTGGCGGTATCTGCATATCTAATTTTTCTTACTGTCCAGACATTATACTGAGGTATACGGTATTTTAAAAGGCAGCAGTATTACGGCATTTTGAAATCTTAGCAGCAAAATTTTGCCGGGTGGGTGGGGCACCAGGCTGGCGTTTGCGCTGGATGGGATGCCAGTCCATTGCCAACCACATACACGCACATGCTCACACACCGTGGGCAGTTCTGAGTTGCCAGTTAACCTAATTGATTTAGCTTACAATGATAAACAGCAGTTCTGTAATGTAATTTACTGCATCATTTAACAGAAAATGTTTAACGAGGTAAAAATTAACAGTTTACCATTATTTTGCAATTCCTTTTTCTGGATATGATATTAAAGCACATTCTGCATAATCATGATTATCTTAAATTATAATTGTGTTTTTATTATATTTTAATATTGGTAGTATTGGCTTTGGCCTGAAACAACACGACTCTCCAATTATTTAAATACTGCTAATGCCCTAACAATGTTCTATCTCTATGTAGTTATTATATGGAGAATAAAAGCAATTAATTAGAATGGTAATAGTGACGGTGCTATGCTGATGATCATTGTCACGCTGGACAGAGATGGACCCCAACAAGCCAAGACCACCAAGGCTTGCGGATGTGACCCGCTTACCCTGGCTGCTGCAACAGGCCCGGGGCGCTGGGCGGGCCCCCGGAGTGCCAGATGTCCCTCGTGCACGGGGACCGCTACTGCCAGACCCAGGCATTGGGCGGACTGCAGGAATGGCTTTTTCAAGGGGGTTCCTACCGCGGCAGTGTGGAAGGGGGCCTCGAGAGCCTGCAGGAGGACCACTTATGAGCTTTGCCAGGGGGCTGAAGTTGCAGCCGGAGGAGAGCGAACTGGGCCGTGGCCGAGGTCTGCATCTCCGCGCTGGAGAACCGGAAGTCGGGGTTAGAAAGGAGGCATTCGTTCCAGGACAGGAATCTGGCTCAGGTCATGATGTGAAGCTGCAGGTACTAGGACAGCCTGCGGCATCAGACCTTCCAGAGGGCATGCCGAAGTTAGAAGCAGAGGAGCTGGCGCCATCCCAAGTGAAGCAGGTGCGCAGCCCATTTTGCTTCACCTTAGTGGAGTGTACTTCATAGGTGACCTTTGTCCACCTTTGTGTTTTGACATCTGGCAGGCCAGTCCACTCTCCTCGGAGTCGTCACTGGTGTCTATGTTTCGGGGGATGGGAATTGAGCCTGCGAAGACCTCTTGGGGCAGAGGATTGCCATCTGTGGGTGAGTTTCTGTGAGGTTTTAAAAACTCCCAAATACATAACCCATTTTGTCAAGGCCAATAGTTCTGAATGTCCATGTTATTAATGGTTCTTGGCAATTATGATATGAGATATGACATCTGGTCTTTTCCATCTGCATGGAAAATTAAAAATGTATAAATTTCAGTGTTTCTCCTAGGTTTACAGCTTTGGGGGGGGGGAGACAGACACCGACAGGATTCATGGTGTTCATGTGTTTCTTTTAATGACAGCAGTCAATATAACAACTGAGCGTGCGTGCAGCAGAACATTTTTTGCATAGCTTGGAATGGTTCTTTTCTGGTGATAAAGGAATCGGGAGCAAAATTAGGCTCAGGTTCAGCATTGATAGGCATGTAAAAAGAAACAGACATACTGCATGTAGACGCTCTTCATACCTTTTTGAAATACAGTTACTTTTACTGTGGTTACAATCTGTCATTGAAACATTACATGAAAATATTTCTGCCTTTCAAAGAAATGTTGGTTATTGTCCTTAAACCAGCAAAAAATAAAAAATGAAATCGTGGTCATTGGTTGGATCATTGTACACTCTACAGTTTAGGTAAGCCCAGAATACAATAAACCTTGTTTAGATGAGATCCTGGGGAGAACAACCAGGGGGAGATCATAGCGGTAACCCAGTACTCACTGATTGTTTTGGAGTAGCTGAAACCCTTTTTTGCCAAAGAGAGGTCGATTTGTGGATGTTCCCATGATATCACAATTTCTGTCCAGTTTTGGGCTCTATGGTAGGGTGCCAACCTACTAAAGGAAGGCTACAGTTAGGTTTCTTTTGTCCAAAACAACCCTTGAGGGATTCCACAACCATGTGGGAAAAGGTTTTGCGACATACTGAAACCAGGAGAATTTCTGGCCTTCTTCAAAACTTTGACACAAAAATTGGTCAGAAGAACACCATGTCAACTGGACAAGGCAGTGTGCTGTTTTTGGGCATATATCTTCATCATACCCTGGGGCACTCTGTAGGGCAGCTGGGTGATCCCGAATTACACTGAATTCTTGAGGGAAAACCCACAGCCCTGCCAGAAACACTAAAAATTGAGGTGATGACCTAAAGAACACTGCTGATACAGCAGTGGAATTACTTGAGCAACATGAAGGTGCTGTAGTGGCTGTAAAATCCCAGACCTTAGAATGGAAAACTGGAGTGACATAAATTCATCAGTCTTTCTGAAATTTGGTAATATGAGAAAATACTCCAGGTGTGCTATACTTAAAAAATGTCTACCCAGAAATATGTGTACTTGTAATTCAGGGAAAGGTTGTTAATTTTTGGTACAAACTCTGAGGTGTGTGCTCTTATCCAGAAACTGCTTACATTTCTGGTGTCACCAGGTGCATTCTCCTGAATTATCATATAAATAGTACTGTATAATTAATATTGTAGAGTTTAATTTCTGTTTTTTTTCCCCCATACCTTTTAAAATCCATTGCCCTCCACCTTTGCTAAATAATACTTTGTGATATGTGTTCCTGTCATTTTATGGTAGAGCTTTTTTGCTGAGGCTTTTCATAAAGGTACTTGATGGTAATGGAAAAATGGAAGACAACTCAGTAAGCACCTTTATAAATAACTTGCAGTTTCATATATACTTAAATTTCCAGTTTTCAGCACAACTGTTGCAATACCTGTATAGTATTCATATTGAAGAGTCTCGTTTGCTGCATGTTGTTTTTAGGACGTAGCCCTGTGGTAGAGCCTGGCCCAGCTCAGCAGATATCCAGGAAAACACGAGGCAACGGCGAGGACAGACCTCTAGAGGTGGTTATGGGACGCGGCAGGTATGGGACTATTATGTTAGCTGTAGTCAATGTGCGGTGTCTGTGGGGAATTAAGGAAAGGGAATAAAGATCAATTGGTGTTTGGTATGTTTGAAGATTACAGCCTAAAATAACCCAACCTTGAGGGGCTTGTTTCATGTCAGGCATTGAGCAAGGAGACCTTACTACTTGATTGCTTGCAAGGCTTTATAATTGAATTTCCATTGACTTTTCTAGGTGTAACGGTTGACTGGGTCATGCGCTTACTCTTTGAGCGGACTGATGTTAGTCTTTATTTTTCAGTTTTTTTGTAACAATGGTTATTCTGTATTTTAATGTATATTCCAAGGAATATTATATTTAGGTGGCACAAAATTGTTGTGTTGCAATAAGATTGTTTGACGCATGAGAGATTTTGAGGTATTTATGGAATCTGAGATCTGTTTGCAGTTTCCTTGAACAGGATCAGTCTCAAATGGTTGGAGTTGGCAGAGCAATACCCTCTTCCGTAGCCTGGGGAAGAGGAACCATAGCTCCCCCTGCTGGTTACCTTCTCTCTCCGTCTCCTGCTGTTCCCACGCTTCTGACTGCTCCATCCCTGAAAAAAGAGCTTCCTGGTGGCCCCTCCGCTATTCCCAAAGGAGAACTACAGATGGAGTCCCCACGGTTGGTTGTCTTTGAGCCCCGGAACAGTCATGAAGTTGTTATAGTCATAATCTATCTGTGCATATTAATGCCAAATCTTCGTGCCTAAAATATTATAATGTAAAACAGTCGTTAAATCTCATATGGTGTTGGTCAGGACTTTCCCTTGTGATTCTTCAATACAGTGAGCCATTGCAGAAAAAAGGCTCAATGGGAAGCCCAGTTCCGATTGGCTCAAACCACATCCCCATTCGCTGCAAGAATGAGGCCGTGTTTCAGTACTGTGTGACCTTCACGTGAGTACTTGAAGTACTGATTTTCTTTAATCAATTTATGTATAGCTAATAATCTCTGTATATATAAGCTTCTGTTTTTTTTTCTCGGTTCTAGTCCAAATGTGGAGTCCATTGGCATGAGATTTGGCATGATGAGGGAACACCGTTCCATCACAGGGAATGTGGTAGCCTTTGATGGCTCTATTTTATACCTCCCTGTCCGCCTGGATGAGGTGTGTCACTGCCGCCGTCACAGTTCCTTTTACTTAGCGTGTGTTTCTACGTCCGCAGGGAATGAAAGAGACATCCCTGTATCGCAGTTTCTGGTATTTTTGTTCTAACTCCAGGTTGTCCATCTGAAGAGTGAGAGACACACTGACAAACAGGAGATCGACATCAAAATTCAGATGACCAAGATCCTGCCCCCAAGCTCTGACCTCTGCATCCCTTTTTATAATGTGGTCCTCAGAAGGTAATGACAATATGCAAAAAGCTTTGTATCTAGGTATGGTGAAATGCTAACAGTTTTTTCCATAATTTCTTTTACTTAGGGTTATGAAAATCCTGGGACTGAAACTAGTGGGACGGAACCATTTTGACCCCAGATCTGCTGTCGTTCTGGGTAAACACAGGCAAGTGGCTGTGTAAATACGTTGGGTTCTCAATTTACACAAAAGTATATTTCCCTCCCGCTGTCCCTAGGGCTGGGATGCCTGGAGAGACTTTGGTGATGGATAATGGATGGATGTTTTCCCTCAACCCCATGTAATTTGTTATACGTGGTATATGGCGTTATTTTAAATAGCATTTTTAAGTTTGTGTAAAACAAGAATCCACAGTATGTAATTCAGTTTGGGGAAAAATCAAACATTATAGGTATAATTTTGTTCCTAAGGTCTGTTTTCGCTGTAGGCTGCAAGTGTGGCCTGGATTTGCAACCTGCATCAAGCACACTGATGGAGGCTTGTACCTTATGGTTGATGTGACTTGCAAAGTACTCCGAAATGACTCCGTCCTGGATGTCATGTGAGTGCATCTAAGCAGTGGCATCAGCAGACCCCACCATCCATAAACATGCTGAATATAGTGGCTGGAATCAGATTTTTAAGCTGTTGGCATATGATTTTCCTTTTTTACCATTGCATGGACAGGAATGTGATTTACCAGCAGAGCAGGGAGAGCTTTCAGGATGAATGTTTGAAAGAGCTGGTTGGCAGCATAGTCATCACTCGCTATAATAACCGCACGTACCGCATCGACGACATAGAGTGGAGCAAATCCCCAAAGGACACCTTTACCTTGGCAGATGGCTCTCAGACGACCTTCATCGATTATTACAGGTACTCTGCAAATAGTGGTAAGGTATGACCTGATATGGCGGATTGGTGAAACAAGCACCTAAACTTGAAGAACAACAAGCTTTTTAGGGATCGAGCATATTCCAAGTGACCTGCATTATGTGTCTTGTATTACACAGCAAAAATTATGGCATTACTATAAAAGAACTGGATCAGCCCCTGTTGGTGCACCACCCAAAGGAAAGGTCGAAGCCAAGAGGCAAGGTAAGCCTTCCGCAGACCACCTTGGGGCAAGGTAAGCCTTCCGCAGATCACCTTGGGGCAAGGTAAGCCTTCCACAGACCACTTTGGGGCAAGGTAAGCCTTCCGCAGACCACCTTGGGGCAAGGTAAGCCTTCCGCAGACCACCTTGGGGCAAGGTAAGCCTTCCGCAGATCACCTTGGGGCAAGGTAAGCCTTCCGCAGACCACCTTGGGGCAAGGTACGCCTTCCGCAGACCACCTTGAGGCAAGGTACGCCTTCCGCTGACCGCCTAGCAACTTGTTTATTTTTATGTTGTAGGGTTTAAGTTTTATTCATAAAACAAAAACAAATTCCATAGGTGTGCTATGTCCTATCTACACTCACCTAAAGGATTATTAGGAACACCTGTTCAATTTCTCATTAATGCAATTATCTAATCAACCAATCACATGGCAGTTGCTTCAATGCATTTA